TAAAATGCCTCGCCGGCCGTTTGCCTGGATAGCGCTCTGTCGTTAGGGCGTCCATGCCTCGGGCACGCCCGCAGGCAAAAGCCACCACAAGGCCATAGCAATGGCTCAAGGCATCCCCCCAGCCGCAGCAGTGGCTTGTTATAGGCGTTCAAGGCTGCCGTTTGACAGGCTTCAAACCCTTAACACCCTTAAAATGCCTCGCCGGCCGTTTGCCTGCATAGCGCTCTGTCGTTAGGGCGTCCATGCCTCGGGCACGCCCGCAGGCAAAAGCCACCACAAGGCCACAGCAATGGCTCAAGGCATCCCCCCGGCCGCAGCAATGGCTTGTTATAGGCGTTCAAGGCTGCCGTTTGACAGGCTTCAAACCCTTAAAACCCCTAAAATGCCTCGCCGGCCGTTTGCCTGCATAGCGCTCTGTCGTTAGGGTGTCCATGCCTCGGGCACGCCCGCAAGAAAGCCACCACAAGGCCACAGCAATGGCTCAAGGCATCCCCCCGGCCGCAGCAATGGCTTGTTATAGGCGTTCAAGGCTGCCGTTTGACACGCTTCAAACCCTTATAAAACCTTTAAAATGCCTCGCCGGCCGTTTGCCTGCATAGCGCTCTGTCGTTAGGGCGTCCATGCCTCGGGCACGCCCGCGGGCAAAAGGCACCACAAGGCCACAGCAATGGCTCAAGGCATCCCCCCGGCCGCAGCAATGGCTTCTTATAGGCGTTCAAGGCTGCCGTTTGACAGGCTTCAAACGCTTAAAATGCCTCGCGGGCCGTTTGCCTGCATAGCGCTCTGTCGTTAGGGCGTCCATGCCTCGGGCACGCCCGCAGGCAAAAGCCACCACAAGGCCACAGCAATGGCTCAAGGCATCCCCCGGCCGCAGCAATGGCTTCTTATAGGCGTTCAAGCCTGCCGTTTGCCAGCCTTCAAACCCTTAAAACCCCTAAAATGCCTCGCCGGCCGTTTGCCTGCATAGCGCTCTGTCGTTAGGGCGTCCATGCCTCGGGCACGCCCGCAGGCAAAAGCCACCACAAGGCCACAGCAATGGCTCAATGCATCCCCCCGGCCGCAGCAATGGCTTCTTATAGGCGTTCAAGGCTGCCGTTTGCCAGCCTTCAAACCCTTAAAACCCCTAAAATGCCTCGCCGGCCGTTTGCCTGCATAGCGCTCTGTCGTTAGGGCGTCCATGCCTCGGGCACGCCCGCAGGCAAAAGCCACCACAAGGCCACAGCAATGGCTCAAGGCATCCCCCCGGCCGCAGCAATGGCTTCTTATAGGCGTTCAAGGCTGCCGTTTGACAGGCTTCAAACGCTTAAAACCCCTAAAATGCCTTGCCGGCCGTTTGCCTGCATAGCGCTCTGTCGTTAGGGCGTCCATGCCTCGGGCACGCCCGCAGGCAAAAGCCACCACAAGGCCATAGCAATGGCTCAAGGCATCCCCCCGGCCGCAACAATGGCTTGTTATAGGCGTTCAAGGCTGCCGTTTGACAGGCTTCAAACGCTTAAAACCCCCTAAAATGCCTCGCCGGCCGTTTGCCTGCATAGCGCTCTGTCGTTAGGGCGTCCATGCCTCGGGCACGCCCGCAGGCAAAAGCCACCACAAGGCCATAGCAATGGCTCAGGGCATCCCCCCGGCCGCAGCAATGGCTTCTTATAGGCGTTCAAGGCTGCCGTTTGACAGGCTTCAAACGCTTAAAACCTCTAAAATGCCTCGCCGGCCGTTTGCCTGCATAGCGCTCTGTCGTTAGGGCGTCCATGCCTCGGGCACGCCCGCAGGCAAAAGCCACCACAAGGCCATAGCAATGGCTCAAGGCATCCCCCCGGCCGCAGCAATGGCTTCTTATAGGTGTTCAAGTCTGCCATTTTGACGGCTTCCAACCCCTTTGAAAACCCTTAAAATGCCTCGCCGGCGTTTGACCTGCATAGCGCTCGGTAGTTATAGGGCGTCAGTGCCTCGGGCACGCCCGAGGCAAAAGCCACCACAAGGCCACGCAATGGGCTCAATGGCATCCCCCCGGCCGAGCAATGGCTTCTTATAGGCGTTCAGGCTGCCGTTTGACAGGCTTTCCAAACGCTAAAACCTATAAAAATGCATCGCCGGCCGTTTGACTGCATAGAGCTCTGTCGTTCGGGGCGTCCATGCTCGGGCACGCCCGCAGGCAAAAGCCACCACAAGGCCATAGCAATGGCTCAAGGCATCCCCCCGGCCGCAGCAATGGCTTCTTATAGGCGTTCAAGGGCCGTTTGACAGGCTTCAAACCCTTAAAACCCTTAAAAATGCTTCGCCGGCCGTTTGCCTGCACTCTGTCGTTAGGGCGTCCATGCCTCGGGCACGCCCGCAGGCAAAAGCCACCACAAGGCCACAGCAATGGCTCAAGGCATCCCCCCGGCCGCAGCAATGGCTTGTTATAGGCGTTCAAGGCTGCCGTTTGACAGGCTTCAGACCCTTAAAACCCTTAAAATGCCTCGCCGGCCGTTTGCCTGCATAGCGCTCTGCCGTTAGGGCGTCCATGCCTCGGGCACGCCCGCAGGCAAAAGCCACCACAAGGCCACAGCAATGGCTCAAGGGCACCCCACGGCCGCAGCAATGGCTTCTTATAGGCGTTCAAGGCTGCCGTTTGCCAGGCCTCAAACGCTCCAAACCCTCCAAAAGTCCGCCCAGCTCCGCACGGAAAAGGTACCCCAACAAGCCCAACACGCGCCACTCCCGCACGCAAAAGCCACCACAAGGCCACAGCAATGGCTGAAGGGCACCCCCCGGCCGCGGCAATGGCTTCTTATAGGTGTTCAAGTCTGCCACTCCAAACCCTCCGAATCCCCCAAAAGTCCGCCCAACTCCGCAGGCAAAAGGTAACCCAACAAACTCAACACGCGCCACGCCCGCAGGCAAAAGCCACCACAAGGCCACAACAATGGCTCAAGGGCACCCCCCTCCCCAAGTTGATTGCTTTGACCATATCTTATTGTATGTGGATATATCATTACCATTGATGACCCCTCATCATAAAATGATTAATCATCAACAAGCTGTCAGGTAGCCAACACGGCCACTGCCTCACCCTTGCGCACCTGGCGGAGTTCGAACTGATCCGTGTCCATTTGGCCGCAGGGTGCAACTTCTCGCTGCTTGAGAAGCAAACGGCCATATGTCTGTCTTGCTGTCCGTCTCCCTCTCTCTCTCTACAGTACCCCCCCTCCAATTAGGGGGGTCGGCGGCACCTGGGCGCTAGCCCATTCTATAAGATATATAAATTAAGATATTTTCTAGTGATCTAACTGTTATTGTCATTTCTGGATTATCTTCCAGTATGCAATGGCATATGAGATTTCCCTGGGTATATTTAGATTAATCGTGGTTTATCATCCAATTACATTCAGCTGCTATGTGGGACATCCAAGTGCCTCCTTGGTGCAACTTATCAGGTGCGTGTGGGTCTTGAGTATTGAACTATCCGGTTTCAATCATTTCGATCCAATAGCTGCTAAATCATCGGCCTGTCACATGGCTATGATTCTATGATATGGTATCATGGTAATCATGCTATGTGGGTTCAAACCTCTGCTGAAATCACCTTTTGATAGGATTTATATGGATTTATCCATAGTGACACACCACCTTCCAGGGACTGTGCTTGCCACCTCCCACCTCTCATGTAATCATTCGGAAGCCCTGAAAACAAAATCGCCAAGCTGGACTTCACATCCAGATCACAGGTAGGATATAGATGTTTCTTTTTGCATCATATGGGCATGTCAAGAATGTGTATACCATAGAATGCCATAGAATGATTCCATTGAGAAAAAACACACTTTCTGGTTGCCTCAGTCGTAATTTTTCACTTCCCACATCTGAAGTCCGGTCCTGACAGGTGTAGCCTTGTAGGTCAGTCCAACCCACTGGAGAATCTGTACATTTCCGACACCTCGGGCAGGGTAGTTTCAGCCTAAGGATTTCATTAAAAAAATCCCAATGTGAGCGTGGATTCCTCAGATTTTTGTTGGCTTCTGCGCACCCGGCTGATTCCCCTTCCTCACAGCTAACAGGGGTCAAAATTGGGTGTGCTGTACCCTGAAACAGGAAAGACCAGAAAGACCAGAAAACTGACCAGACATATTTCGGCTGATTTCGGCTGATATTCAAATTGACCAAATTAGTCTCCTCCTGAATCTGCAGCCCTGCCCGCCTGTCAACTTCAATAATGGTTTGGATGTTCAAAGCTGTATTCATGATGGGCACCACCTGTCACTTTGGCATCGCCCTTAAGAGGTTGGTTGAAATACGGTAGAGTCCTTCAATGTCCTTCATCTACAGCGAATGACCCAATATCTCAACCCAATATTACATCTTCAAGCCAGGTTTACCCCATCGTAACATGTCGTAACCCACAAGCTGTTTCAACGCCCTCCCAGACACGATGAATCCTCGTTACAGAAGGGCTAGAGCATCCACGTGTAACCTGGCTGCCCTGTCCTTTGTGCATTTCAATTACAAAGTTAGATTATGTTAGATTCCTAATGGGTACTCAGCATGATTGACATGCCACAGTTCTGCAGACATGACTGTGTGGCAGGGTCGCACCAATATTTGACCATTTCAATTGCTGCTGAACTCCACCATTGAGGAACCGGTAAACCCGCCTCTCTTGTGCATGTCCAACCATCTTCTACTTCACAGGTGCTGCTACAACCATCGCCATCCTGCCAGCAAGTGCAGCTAGTAACCAATCATGGTCCTGAATTATCAGATTAAAATTACCCCGGAGAAAAAAACATGAAAAACACTCCAAGGTATCCAAGAAATTTCGGTGATAATTGCACACACAAAGCATGATCGCTCTCAAACCTCTGGCTGCAAAGTTCAGCGTATAAAGTTGACTCTTGGGTGGAAAACTTGGTGTTTGAGTGTTCAATAGTTGGTGAGTCCCCTAGGCGTTATCCATGTTATCCTAGCCAATAAGTAGGAACATGTTCCCAATCGCTAGTGACGCTAGTGAGCTAGTGACTTGTCCAGTAGTTTTTATCTCCAGCATTTCTGTTGGCAACAACCCCCCGATTTTAGATATTACCAAGGGACATTCTGATCTGGCTGAATTTTCTCACCATGCAATGTGGTTTTTGCACAATGCCATAAGCCCAATGGGGCATGTTTCATTCACCATGAAAAAGCCATCATTAACATCACTAACCATCATTAACCAGCCATTAACTAGAATTAACCATCATTAAGCCACTACGAAACATTAACCATCCAATCCACCAACCATTCACCAACCATTGACCAACCATTCACCATTCACCGCACCTGTGAGTTGCCATCATCACATCGAGCTCGGCCATCTGCAGTGGTGCGTGCTGAGGGCCAACAATCCCCACAGACCTCGCGCGCGCTCTGAGCGAGGATCGGGGAACTTCGGATACATGGCAAGTGGAGTTGAAATCGAAACGCCATTGGTATCCAAAAAGAATATAATGTATATATATATATATATTTATGTAATTATACATGTATATACTTATACACATCTATGTACTGTGCCACATAATGAGTGATTTACAATCTACTTTAACAATGGTGAGCGTCCAATCCCTCTTCCAAATGGGTGGTTTCAAGCGATAGGATACATTTGATCATCGGAAGATCGGTGGCAAAATTGGTGAGCCATCCATAGCAGAACCAATTACCAGGTCTCAGAAGAGTATGGCTCAAAATACCCAAGAGGAGAGGTTTGGTCATTTTTTGGTGTCTTAAAAAAGACTTCATCGGCTTTTTGCATCAATAATTTTCAACCCATGAGCACTCTACAAGAAAGGTGAGCTTTGAACCATCCAAGTTGTGTAATTTTGGAAGTCATGTTCAATCTCATCATCTAATATCATCCCAATGGTAGGTAGACTAAGGTAGACAATCAACATCTATGAAACCACTATAATCTCGTCAGTAGAACTTTCCAATCTCATCCCAATCATCCCCTCAAAAAGCTCACTTTTGTGGGTCGTTGCCAAGAGGCTGCGCACGCTCCATAGCCACAATATTGGTCACATTGCCCAGCCAGAGGACCACAGCTGTGGCAAAAACTCGCCTGGATTTCATACTCGTTGGACTCATCAGGGTCCAAATGTTTGCTGAACATTCCCGTCATAAGTGGTGTGAATTTAAACTATCTCAACTATCTCAAGGTGATGATTTAAAGTTTCAAATCCACAAAATGCCAGGTTTCTCAGTTCCTACCCCCTGAAATTGGCTAAGGATTTGACACCCCAAATCTCACTGATTCTTGGACGAATCCTCGATCAGCCCCTTCTTTTCCAGGACATCTGAAATCAAGGGCCGCTATGATGCTTGTGACCCTGGCTAATTTTTACATACCCCAGCCAAAACACACATATAGTGTTTACTGGAATAGGGTCCTCCATTTTTGTATCTGAACATCATTGAACAGTAAGACATCAACCAGTATCCAGCCTCACAGGAGTAGGTACCACTGGCTATCATGGCCTGACAGAGCTGTGACCTCTTTGATCGGCGAAACAAACTCCCCAAACGGCAATTTTTTCCCTTGGAAAGACGATGATATACGATGATCATTGATCAAAATTGGGGGCAGCCCATTTTCAGACCAACATAAAGATGTTCTCCAAACTTTCTGGTGGCTCACGAGAAAACCTTAACTGTTGCTGTTGATATCATCTTAGAAGACACATCCCCATGATTTTCTGCTGAAGGCAAACATCATCAAGCGCCAAAAACGGGCTTTGAAAGATGCTGTTCACATCGTTCGCATGGTCATCAAACTGGCGAACGGATGTGGGATTCCAATTGGTGCCCGCCTAGCAGAGTGAAAAACTGCTTGCTGCTAGAATCCCTCAGAAATGACTGGCAGAGAATGATCCATGACAAAATGTAGAAATCCATTGGGTCCACAAGGAAGTGCCTCGCAAAATTGAAGGATCCGTAACACCAAAAGATGGGACCCGTGAATTTACTTGGTTCTCATGCACTCAATGTTTGACCCATTTTCATATCCATAAACATCCTTAAATAACCTCTTGGGTACTTCCAATAATCTCTAGTTGGTGATTTCAAAAATGGTTCAAACATGGTGAAATTTCTGAAACAAACGACCAGTTGTGACAAGTTGTGGTCATTTCACGGCCTGGCATTGGCCCTCCATGCCCAAGCGCTGCTCGATGGCATTGTTGCAACCACTTGGGACGAACGGACTCGCCTGGTAAGGAGTGTTGGTGTAGAAAATCCCTGGCGGAAACCTGTACAATATGTACAATGTACAACAACAACAACAGCAACAGCAACAGCAACAACACCAACACCACCAACAACAACACACAAACAGTGGCAGTTCTGCCCTTTGCGTTTTTTTTCCCCTATTTCTATGACAGGTGAATGGGATTGAATGGGTTTCTTTTGGTAAGTTGTCCACACAGAGAAATCCGTGGGCTCCGGCAAACACCGGCGGACCCACAACCGGCATTGCTGCCGGAGCACCGGACAGCAGAGCTCATATCCACAGGGATCTGCTGCTACAAGGCCCACAGCACTGGTGTCAGCACTGTTGCAGGTCTTAGTTGAGAAGCTAAGCTGAGCATGCTTGCAGACCATGAGAGAGTCACCAACGTTTCTTGGGAATTTGAGCTGCAAAACAAGGGGGCTTTCAAAGCTCTAAGATGTGGATTTGACATGTGAAACTGATAATTTTGCGCCTCGAAAAATGCAGGAAAGGCGGCCGACAAGTCTAGGGAGAAGAACCAGCGCACCAGGCGCACCAGGCAACTTAAGTGGATCAGAAAAAGAGTTGATTCCAAAGCTGATTTGTGGCGCCATCGAATTTAGAGTTTCCCCATATAACTATGTATATGTATATTTATGTATTAGATCATATTATACACATAGAATAATGACATTTCTGGTGCTCGCTTTGGTCAACATGTTTTTTGGGTGAAGTCCTAGCCGTCCTGGACGCCACGCCAAGTTGCGCCATATTGAAACTGATCTTTGGACAGATTCCGGATGGGATCGTCGTGGCCCAAACCTGAGGATCAGGTGAATTTCATGTTGAAAAGCTATGAAACTCCATATATTTCTCCAAGAGTGGTGAAGTAATGTGAAGTATACATATGACTATAGTGACTATATGACTATCCTATGTTGTGACATTTCTTATCGCAATATGGATAAATATGCTATGAAAACCATCCAGCAATCAGGTCACCCAAACCTGGCTGCAGCCTGGAGACATCTCAGCAACGTGTCTGAGCCCAAGCAGTTGTTGCCAAGGCCTTGACAGCTGCATTGCACCTGGCAGACGAACGTCAATGCATGATATGATCTATGTACACATAGATATACACATATGTATATAGTGTACTGTATATATGTATAATACATACATTTATATAAAGATATATAGAAACATCTGTAGTAAGATGTATAGCAATATATATATATATATGTATTGTAAGATATTATTGTGCAAGATATGTCCGAACATAGTGCTAACATAGCAATATCTAGTAATATATAGCAACGACATCTGGCATATAGCAATAGTTATATATATATATTGTATACATATATATATATATTATGTATAATTATATAAAGTAATATAGCAATATCATGACATCCTTCAATAAACTCCTGGGCAACCGCCTTGTGGTAAGAAAGCATATGCTGTCTAACTGTGGCAAGCTTTATAGAAGTGGAGACCTTTTGTTGGCTCATCAAACCAATGCTTTTTCCCAATATATTTGACAATGATTTGTGGAGCTTGCTGGGGTATTGTATGGTATTGTATCCAGAATCTGGGATGATTGTCGTTCCGTAAAGACCTGGACTCGAACCTGACATTCCCCGCAGTGAGCAAGGCCGCCGCAGCTCGAAGCGTCCTGCGGTGCTTTTTCAAAGTGGGCACGCATCCAACCTCCGTGAATACTATGTCTGGGCAAACATCGCTGGGTGAAGCCGCTAAATTTGCTAAATCTTCCCGAGTCTGTCTCCAAAACATGCATAACTTGTAAGGACCACGCATGCAAACGGTTCATACACGGCTCAAAATTGAGGTCTGGTTAGCAGTGAATATGACTCTCACATCAATTTCATGGGGGCAAATGCCATCTGCCCAAGTACAGCATTTGACTCTCTATTTCCCTTGTTTGTGTGTTTATATCTCCACAGGTGGTGGTTGAAGAGTGGTTTTTCCAAGGTCATATTTACAACGGGAAATATCTGTGTTCCTCTTAGAGAATTTTTGCAGCATCAGCAGGCAGTCTTAGCGGATTTTCACTTTTTCCCGGAGGCCCCTAACTTTGATCTTTCTGCATACCGGCTTGCCATTTCCATACAATAGGGGGTTCCATCAGTTGTAATGGGGTTTACACCCATTGAAGTGGCATAGCCTGCTCACTGCTTTCCAGCTGCCTGCATGGGTCCCACATGGGGTGTGCCGGTGCATGTGTTGGCTGCAACCAGTGGAAGCCCGGCGAGGAATAGGAGGAATCTTCGCATGGCCTTGAGATATGGCGATGTGACATGACATGAAATCATGATACCTTGGTCACGCTTGGTCCATGATATCCAATCTGTAGTTTCTCTTCATGTTTGGTATTCACAGTCACATGTATTCACTAATGATTTGAACATTACTCTAACATGGATCTAAGTACCGTCTGTGTCACGTGTGTATCGACGAATCTCAAGTGACAAACTCACACATATATGTATATATATATAGATTTTAACGAGTTTTGGAACACATATGGTTAAATATGCCATACACTGATGACATCGCACTTTTCAAGAGTCATGGGGGTTTCGTCATCAATACAGGGGACAATGATAAATGCGGGGAATGGAACGATCCAACATGCTTTGGCGCGTTGAGGCTGCTATAAATGATTCTCCAATCTATCTGGGTAATCCATGGGCACCAGGAATGCAAGCCTGACAGGTGGTTTAAAGCCAAAAAGTATGGCTAAAATGGGGTAAGATGGGCTAAAAATCTCAAAACATCAAGGGCAAGATGAGACAATTCAACAATTGTCTGGTGGGCGAAGCGTCTGAGGTATCCATGGACTGGAAAGTGCCCCATTTCTGAGTCACACCATATGTGTTCCTTGAAAATATGTATAATCATGTATAACTATATTATAATATATATATATAATATGTGTATATAATATGTGTATATAATATGTGTATATAATATGTATAAATGATGAATGTATATTCTGGGCGCATGGTATGGCCGATCATCCCACAAATGAAACACAACCATTCCAGCCCCCTCCTGCGTTCTTCGAGCTGCTCGTGTGACACGTGTCATGCCATAATCTACTCGCCCACCCGACGAAGTGTCAAGTAGAGCATTTTTCTCACCAAAAGAATTTTCTGTGCCAAAATGGCTCGGCATGCTGGACATTTCAACTCCAGAACATGAAGGGCCATGATGATCCATGTTTCATATCCAACTAAGCAATTTCGGGCTTAACAAAAATCACTTAGCCAATATCCATGAGATGCGGCACTTTCCTTTGGATCACTTGAAAAACTAAAGACACGGACCAGTTAATCTGGCTTTGGATTATGACATGTAAAAAGAGTTATAGCCTTACTCCAAGGTGAATCCCTCCTGTCCTGAATTTTTGCTGGTCTGAATTCTAATTCATTCAATTGGAGTAGCCACTCAACACAAGGCACAGAGTTTTCCCCGAGGTAGCAATGTGTGAAACGAGTTGGCCCTTTGCACTTCACGGCGATGAAGCCCGCGTTACACATCCCCAGGTCTGCCCATGCTGCCTGGAAGTACTGTCGCTCTAAAAAAAGCTGTCAGGTCCCAGTGGTTTTTAGATGTTTTTGGCTTTCCAGTTCTTCTTCAAACAGCTTGGGCAAGGGCCTCAACTAGTGACGTTCCAAATGTGCAGGTGTCTACTGTAATCATTGGAACCACCTGTTGGGTCGGTTCAAATTCAAGCCAGATATGGCAACCTGGGTCTGGGTCGTCAACATGGAGAGATCATCGATACAGAAAACAGTGATGAAGCTCGGACCCATACCCATCTAAGAACATAAACTGCCTGGGCGGAAAAACAGCAGACTTTGTGCTTCCATTCAGGCAGTTCAGTGTGTTGAATACATCTTAGAGTACCTAGGACCTAGGCCTCACAAAAAGACTTGCCAGTTGGCAGTTCAGCAGCGCCAAAATCGGGTTGAAATAGTTGACATGTGGAACAATATGAACAAGCATGATTCAACTATTATTCTAAAAGGTTGGGTTGAATATGAACCAAATATTTGAAATAGATTCAACTTTTAAAACCACCAACCTTTTATTCGATCCGTCTATACAACACTGACGGTCACACCACTGCTGTCTTTGATGACCAGCTGATTCTCCTGTTTCTGTTTCACAATCTCGGAGATGCAATAGGAGATGACCACGGTGATTCCACCAAAAGATAAGCTCCATTCCAGGATCACCTCGGTCTGGCACCGAGAGTCACATTGGGACTCAGCTGGCACCCGTGCTTCTCCACAATGAATTTCATGTCGCGAACAGTATGATATCAGAATGCTCAACTCGCCTCAATATTCTCACTTCATTCACTTCATGTATCAGAATGGGTGGACCCCCTGAGAAAATTGATGAGCCAAACGATTCGACCGGATTTTTTGCCAAAATCATTGGCTAAATCCAGCAAAATACAGGCATTTTTCGACCCAGATACCATCACCAAGGATCCAGGGTTCATGTCAATCCCCGGAGTAAAGCTCCAGTCGTAAGCGAGTTTGCGTTGAGCCCCTGGGGAAACTGATCACAGGGAAGTTGTGCTGGAAAGTGATGGGACGGGCAAGATTTTTTGTGTCAGTGGGGTTAATCCCAAGCAGACTTATCACCCAGTTACCCTCTGGTAATTTAACATAGCTATTGAAAATGGCAAATTATAGTTGATTTTCCCATTAAAAATGGTGATTTTCCATAGCTATGTTAGTTTACCAGAGGGTAAATCAGCTTCTGGAGTGACCCAGTTGTAAGTGGTAGGGCCCATCATGAAAAAATCCAAACATCAATGTGATGCCATCTATGCAACTGTGGTTCCAGAAAATTCCAGGGGTCTTGAAAATGGAGAAGTAAACCACCACCAAAATACATCCCTGGATTGGGGGGGAATCACATTTTCTCATAGATGGTTTGGGTGACCCTGATTCTTGCGACCCATTTTTTGTTGTGTGAGACGTGTCCCAACCTTGACTGACGCACAGCTCACTAAGGCTGAAGTAGTAGATGAAGTAGCCAGCGAATGTGATACAGAGACCTGGGAGTCAATGGATGAGGGCTGAGCCCATGAATTCCAGGTTTCACCATGAATCACCCAGGATTTTAGGCAGTTGAGCCACTCACAGTGACTTTGGTTGCTGACCAAACACGGGTGCTCTTGAGCAACAACTCATGGTAATACACAACAAACATCAACAAACACATGGTAGAATCCAGTAGAATGGTGGATGTTGCTGATGTCATTTCTTGGTGACCTATATTGAGTATTATTGAGTCATGGACATCTAGAGATTACACCGCATACATAGGGGGACCATGGGACAGAAATCCTTGGAGGCTCTGCTAAAGGGCCCCTTGGCCTCCCATGGCTGACGAGCGAGATTCCAGTGGAAACACATATACAGCATATATTATATATGCACATATTCTACACGCTATATGAATAGCTTGAAATCCGGATCCAGTCGCATTTATAGCGCACTCCAGTTCCAAGGAACATCGCCAAGGTAGGGTGAACTGGAAGAGAATTGCAACCTCTGCGAGAATCGGACACGTTGGGCCATGAAATTGAGGACCTTCACAATATTATATTTCTATATTGAGTCAGTCTATCTATCTATCTATCTATCTATCCATCTATCCATCCATCCATCCATCCATCCATCCATCCTATCTATCCTATCTATCCAATCTATCCAGTCTATCCAGTCTATCCAAGTCTATCCAGTCTATCCAGTCTATCCAGTCTATCCAGTCTATCTAGTCTATCCAGTCTATCCAAGTCTATCCAGTCTATCCAGTCTATCCAGTCTATCTAGTCTATCCAGTCTATCCAAACTATCAAACCTATCTAATCTATCCTATAGATCCTATATATCCTATTCCATCCTATTCCATCCTATCCTATGCTACCCTATGCTATGCTATCCTATCCTATCCTATGCTATGCTATCCTATGCTATCCTATCCTATCTTATTCTATCTTATTCTATCTTATTCTATCCTATTCTATCCTATTCTATCCTATCTATCTAATCTTATCTAATCCAATCCTATCTAATCCTATCTAATCCTATCTAATGCTATCTAATCCTATCTATATAATCCTATCTATCTAATCCTATCTAATCCTATCTAATCCTACCTAATCCTATCTAATGCTATCTAATCTAATGCTATATAATCCTATCTAATGCTATATAATCCTATCTATCTAATCCTATCTATCTATCTATCTATCTATCTACCTACCCTACACATATTATTTATGATTTACCATTGATGAAACACCATTTGGCCAGAATTTATACGGCTTGGTCGTTTGATACTGCTGTGAACGACATCTCCTGAACACGGGAGCCACCAATCCCAAAAAGATGATCCATTGCAGTTGAAATCACCACGGCCACACTGGTGTCCAGCAGAAGCATTTCATGTCTTCCCTGCGTTACTAAACGCTTTCGCATTGCAAGACCGAACACAAACCCTTTATACATGTTGATTTGAATGATGTGAGACATCTCGACATCTGTGCCCCAAGCGCATCTCACTGCCAGAGCCAACTGGGCCATCAAAATATGGCGGTGACTCACTTGACGCTGAGAAGCACCCATACTTACCATCGCAGTACCATAATGCAGGAAGAGCCATCGATGTGGCAAGGTATCTGGAAATACCTGGCAAAATCTAGAAGGATGGGCCCTAAAATTGGGTGTGTCGCCCACAAGAAAGTGGTTTGAGCCTTGAACCAACAAAAATGGTGATGTTCCAAATATCAGGATGGAGGTAACTACCAATGTTCCTGGGTTGATAGGAATTCAGCCATGTTTTGAAGTAGCACCTTTTTGGTTCCCAACTACGACTCAAGCAACCAATCCATGCCTTTTGATCTGGAGGATTCTGATCTTTCTTTACCGACCAATGTCATTTCAAGCCGACAGGAAAGTTCAGCGCGCACCCGAGAAAGCAAGTTCTAGGTACTTTGGGGGGAAATCCATCACAAGTGAAAGCGACCAAGATGATGCAGCGTCAGCAACCTTTAAATGGGTGAGATAGTCGAGGAATATCTTACCTGGAAGGTCATCAACCTTGAATAACACAAGAACCATGTGCCAAAATGTCTCAACCACCCCCTGTACCATCCCAATGTATAGCAGCTTAAGAAGGATTCCGATAGGGGGTTGTGCCTCTTTGACGTGGTATGACGATCCCGGTCTCAATGAGCGTATGCCAAGATAGGGACCTTGATTAAATCCTCATCTTGTTGGTAGAATCACACTACACTCTTTTGAAGTTAAGTCCCAGCTGTTGCTGAACTCAGCATCTTTGTTGCTTACTGCAGGGGCTCAACTGGGTATAACCTCACCGGCATTTCAGGCACTGCCAAGCTATGCCAAGATACAACCAACAAGAGGTAGCAACTACTCAATATGCCCGCAGGCCAGTCACTGCGTCGCTGCCACGCGAGCAGCAGTAGGATGCCTTCCACTGCAGGGCATAGTGCGAGGACTAACCAACAATACCTCGGGCCAAGACCGACAGGTTGGAATAAATTTGGGATGAAAAAATTGAATGATTCATTGAATCAACCGTGTTTTGGTAGGTTCATGTGCCAAACATGCGGGATATATATATATATAATTATAAATATTTAATTTGACTATTTTCATTGGAACAATGATTCCAATGATGGTAAAACTGTTGATCCTTGGGTTCCATTTTTCGGATTAAGGGTTTCATGATGTCCAGTGGATGGATGCTTCACCAGTTTCAAACTTTGCAACCTGGCGTAGTCAGCACCCAAACACACGCTGTTGCCAAGGCTCGTTTGCCCAATGATACGAGGATTCATGTCTGGTTCCAAGTACAACGCGTTGAAACCTCAAGTTCATTGGGTTTTGAAGGATGTTGAAGGGAAAACTGATAGCTGTAGGAAACTATGGTCCCACAGTACATCAAACCAGGGCATTAGTTTTTTTTTCATGTTTTTTCGATGGTCTTCTTGCAATTCGTCACTTCATGTTAGAATTTTGGAAGATGGGCAGTGAAACTGTCATTGTTCACTACACTCAGTTCACCCATTTTCGCAGCCGAGATGCTTTCCGAGATCCAACAGATGTATGGTAAGGTGCCACCACAAACACACTTGGACGCAACAAAAGGAGATTGTCGTCCACACTGGACCAAGGCATTTCCTTCCCATAAGCGGAAGAGAAGCACCTGAGTGGACATGAATCTGCATGAATCTGGGCGAATTAAACCTTTTTTGGGATGGTTCCCCTTACAAACCATCAATCAAACTTCTGTCATTGCAAGGTACCAATTTATCCAAATGGATGCACAACTGCATCATCCAGGGAGGAATCATCACTAAATGAATCTTTCCGAAACCTTGCAAACCCACCAAATCCATCTAAATTTCTAAATCCAATGTGTTTCCCACTCAAGAAACATCCATCTTGGGTTTGGGGCATCCAATCTTGAAAGGTACTTTACTTCATGAGACCCCCCACCGTGACACAAACATCCTGACAATAATACTGACATACACATATCCTGACGTCCATTTTTACATAATTTCTGGCGAATGAAATCAATCTAAATATGCAAATGCATTCTGACCAAGAAACTGAAACATGTCCTGACATTGATTGAGACACCCTGACATTTATTGTCCTGACATTTTTCTAGACAGATACTTTGACATGTAATTGGAGCAGGGTAGCGAGATCTCCCTTATGTGCTTTGCCATATCAATGCATCAATGTTGATGGTGATTGGCAGTGATTGGTGTTAGTTGCTTCTGGGGAAGTTGATGTCGAGGCCGCTTTATGATGATTTTGGTTTTTGAAACAAACTGATGTTCGCGTGACCTTGAAGTCGAGGTTGATCAGCAGATGGACCCAAATACTTTTCAAGTCAAAACTTTTTTTTTTCCGAACATAACGTAGCGGGTGAATTCGGGAGAAGGTATTGTCCAAAAATCAGCAGTGCAGAACTTGAGCTGCAGATTCTTGGAGGCTCTGGTCCCAATTGTGCCCTTCCCAACAAGGGAGTGATCAGCCCCCAATCAGGATTGATGGGGGGTAGTTGTTACCTCTCAAGGCCTTGTGTGTTTGGTTGGGTCTTTAGAGTGAAGGCAAACAGTTTGGCAAACCCAGCGGGATCTGCCTTGGGGACTCGTTTAACATGCCTCAAGGCAGTGGTACGGATGATTTTCCTCTGTTTCCAGGGATGATGATGGTGAGCAACTGTGGCCTACAATTCCAAACATCGCCGGCTAAGGATCGGCTAAGGATGCTAAGATCTAAATCTGCAGATTTCATTACAAATTTAATGTCTTCACTCAAGTGTTCTGCAGTTCCCAGTTCTGTTATGGATCCAGAACATATCTAAATAAACATCAATAAATATCCCTTTAGTCTGGTTGATTGATATAGGAGTGTGATAATATCAAACATGTGTAACACATGACTAAACATCAATAAATATCCCAATGATCATTGGATATCCCAGGATTTTCCCTGTCCTCTCTGGATCCTATTGATCCTACGCCGAGGAACCACCACCAGAATTAAGGCGAAGGCTAAATGGCTCCTGGGATGTTGACAGCTGGGAAAATCAACGAACTTTTCATGGTGGATGTTCCACCAAAGCATGTTGGTAAACATTGTTATTTACTGGAGGGTAACTGGGGTCTAGAACAGAAAAAACATGAAACCACAATGACTCCTTGGTTGAGTTTCTTAGTTTTTCTTCTCAACTTCTGTGATATCAGCCCCAAACCAAAACTTGGAGGACAACTCTGGTTTAGAAGTCCTGAGATGTCCTGAGGAAGTCCTGAAGATCCTGAAGTGAGGTTATCTCATTTCTAGTTGGAGTCCACAACTCTACTTGGAATCAGACATTTTCGGATCCTCTGAGTACCATGGATCCCAGTACCGGGCAAATTCTGGGATGATTCCCGGATGATTCCCCTAGGCTGAGCTTGTTGCCGGTTGTGTTTCCTAGAATTTTCCAAGTCACTTTCCCCAAAAATCCATTCACATCTCCACTATATCCCCATGTTGAACTGATGTTTTTCCCGAGAGTGATTTTTCCCCACCACTGTGGATACATTTTTTTTACACCATCTTGGATGGTTGAAACATCTTGAAACCCTATAAATCATGGGATTTTTCAGCCTATCAACTGGTGATCACCGGATTTCCCAAGCACTGTAGGAACTTTTGGCCAGCCGAGGGGCAACACCAAGAGGCGCAAGGACAAGAGCCGTAGCTCGGCCCGCGGCATGCACGCCATCAGCAGCTGGGGTTAGGATTTCTGGATTTTCGGGCGATGATTTTTATGATTTATGGATATTTTACGATACTTAGTTTAACTTATGTGGATCAAAGATCAAACTATTTATGATATTTATGTGGATCAAAGATCAAAATGATGTTGTAGTTATTTTTGCTCTGATGATGCTATCTGATATTCTTTATAGTTTATAATCTCAATCAAATTACAATTGCCCACCAGGGACATGAGTTCATTGATAGCTTCGAAGCCATGTGCCCCCTTGCTGTCAAAGTGGCTGAAGCACAGGTTGAGACACTGCAGTTGTGATCCCAAACCGCTAGGTGGTGTTGCCAATCATGATAGCTGAGACACGTTTCAAAGCATGGCCAAACTGTGTTACACTGGGTATTTCGAAGTGGAATATGACAAGATTCCTCGGTCAGAACTAGACCCATTCACCAACGATTCACCACGCGGTTTAGCCCAGAAATGTGTTGTACCTCGATTTATGGCCAGATTCATAGGCTTCATAGCGAAATGAAGTTCCAAACATTTCTAAACCATGATATTTAGGGTGATGACCCAGCATTTATGGCCCTTTTGACACCATTTTCATCACGCTTCAAGGTCGCCGCGGCAATGGCAAACCTTAGGGATGCCGGTTTCCGCAGCGAGGGATGCAACATGGTTTACTTGGGGGGATGCCCAAAAAAAGACATTTTCACCGGTAAAACAGGCAATTGACTATCAACCATGGGAAAAAAATCAGCCTATGGGATTGAAGAAACAAAGACGTGCAGAATTTTACTGCATCATCAATGGTAATGCCAAACTTGGCATGACACACATACACACAGTGCGTCCAGCTGAGGCCAAGAATTAAGAGTCATCCATTTTCTACAACAAACCATTCACATAACCCAGGTTGACCCAGGGCCCACGATTTTCACAGAGGAGAATCCACATGATTTAGTCCCTCTCAGGTTTGATGGCCAAAAAACCTAGACCTTTCGAGTTTTTTGTGGGTAAACATAAGCCTACCTATAATGTGGTTAAACAGTAATAAACTACCCATTTGGCAATGGTAAACATACCACCTATTTATGGTGATTTGGGGGATGGTTTATTCTTGCTTGACCGCATTAATGGTAAACACCATCATTTTTTGGCTCGTTGATGGCATACCAGGTGCCCGTGCCCATCATGGGTGGCATCAGCGGCAGGCCGGGCGATAACATCGGCCTCGGAGAAAGCATCCCCGTCAGAATGAATGGTGATTTAACTTATCCATATTATCCATGTATGAATATATATATATATATTATATCTATTGGATATGGACTATTGGATTACATTATATAACCATGGGAGTTTGGAGATCAAAAAATGAAGGCCTAACAAAAAAAAACTAGTTGTTTAACCATCAAACTTTGGATTTTCAGCCATGATAATTGGGTGCTTAACCATCCAACATGGAGAGAGGGAAAGGATGCCAAACAGTCCCCATTTGAGGCCTGCTTTGGTATTGGATTTATTCATTTTGGTGGTCCAATGCAGTGATATCTAATCTTAGTTGCAAATGATTGCAAAACCATATATATATATATATATAACTATATATATAATATATATATATATATCATATATCCACATATCATTTGTTGGGGGCACATAACCTGTTTTGAGGGAATTGGATGATTTTGAGCCATAGCCACATTGCTAATCAATGTCCTAAAGTGTGTACTGATCCACTGCCGGGGGTAGATTTGCATAGATTGTCCCTCTGAAAATGGCAACCGCCCTACCCAAGAATCTACCCAACCAAGCTTTACCCAGAATGGTTTTCATACTGTCGGGTCTACAAGCACCACACTGAATAACACTCAATGTCACTCAATCAGACGTCTGAGAACACACTTGAACATGAAAAGAAGAGATGACATCCACTGTGATCATCTGCAACATAGGGACAGTGATCATGAGCAAGACTTGGGTTTTAAACCACCAAAGAAATTGTCCCTGACAGTCTGGAATTGAACCAGCAACCCTTGATGTTTACGTAGCTTAGGCCAGGCATGGCCGTCTGTGTGCCGCGCATCATCGTTGGCATTGGCATTGGCACAGGCATCATCGGCGGCATGGTGGCCGGCATGGTTGGGAGGATGGGCCTGAGGGCAGTTTAGGGAGCCCATGACATTGGGACATTGGGACGTTGGGACATTGGGACATTTCAATTGATGTGGGTTATCACCCAATTTTTATGGTAACATGGGGCAAATGGGGTATGGTTTACCATTGGGTCTACTGTTGGGCTTACCACATTACCAAACATCTGGTGGTACCTAAATTACATGTTTGGTAATGCCGACCCATCCCCATAGATGTGATACAAATGATGGATATTCACCAATCATATAGAGATGTAAGCCAGAAGCATCGATACCATTTACCATGGAGATTGTAAGTGTTGACCCAGCCCCATGTCATCCCATGTCACTTTTCTCTGGAAAAAGCTGCCAATACTTGACTGAGTACCGGGCGGCCGGAGCACCTATCAAGGGTCCAATCAGGTTTCGGATGCTGAAAAACCATTTTCAAGAGCTGGTTTCGGTCGCTTTAACTATGAAAAGAGCACAATATGCAGCCAAATTTGGGCTGGTTACTGCATCATAAACGACCATTTGTGGTACTTGGTGGACCATCAGTTCCTCTGCAGTTCCAACCCGACCTGTGGCACCGCTGCTTCCTGGAGATGCGCTGATCTGCTTGGATGATTTGAGTTCGCCGAAGTGGTTTATTGACTCAAATGGTTGTTAACTCATAACATGTTATAGCCCACTGACTATCATTTCCATGCATTTCCTGGCTAGAACATGATATTTGTTAAAATTGGTCCCGTTTTCAATTTGGCGGGTGTAGCAGTGTAGCACTGACCTCCCATCCCAAAGAAACCTTGCCAGAATACATGGCAGGACAGTTCATAGCTGTTGGGATGTTCTCCGCCAAGTGGGGACCCAATCATCCTTTGATCACCCTTGAACTCGGTTGAGATCCCCAATGCAGGTTTTTGAAAATGTTGAAACCAATCTTCAATCCGAAAATCAGCATTTCAATGATATGGATTCTCCCTGGATGCAGAACATCAAGAACAGGCCGAAAGCAAGCTGTATTTCCTGCATTTTCCATTGCCTAAACACTCACTGCATTTTCCATTGCCTAAACACTCCATAAAAACCAGCAACAGATCAGCCAACCCAGGCAGGGCACCCTCCAATTTTCCTCTGCCACATTTCTGAGGCAATTTCTCAGCGGTTGTGATTTCAATTCTCCCATCCTGAACAAATCAATGCTTCTTCGCCTTCTTCGCCTTCTTCGCCTTGTGATGTTTTTTCTTGCGGTGCAACGCCTGCAGAAGTGGACAGCATTTCCTGGGCGCAGTTTCAGAGTCAGAGTCAGCCCATTGCGGGAAAGGATTTGAGAAGAACTTTGGTCCATCCCTGAACTTTGTCAGTGACTCCTAGTGACTCGAGCATCTCCAGGGATCATGGATCATCTCTGCTTGGCCCAATGGAACCATCGCCACATGATGTGAACTTACGGCCACCGTTTATCCTTGGATTCCCGGCACACGTGAGAAAGAGTTGTTCCAAGCGTCAACTGGCTGATGGTACCGGTGACATCGCCGTTGCCGCCAATGAAGATATATTTGAGGATATCAAAGTCTGGGTACCTGGAGATAGCGAATCTGATGAATGACTGGGGAAAAAAATGTGTGAAAGAAAGCAACAAAAGCTGACAATGATACAATGAGATTTTCCAAAGATACCCAAACTGGAAGTACCAAACATAATGCCTGTGCAAGGCCAGAATTGAGGGAATATGCCCCATACCTACCCTAGAAGGCCATTCGCATGAGATCCAAACCATTGCATCCGGGCCCCATCTCATGGACATGGTATCAGGTACCAGGAAATCAACAGTGCCACCAAGAGCTTAGTCCGACAACTGTTGAGCCTTTTTGGCTTGTGACCTCATAACAGGACGGGAAAAGGAACTTAAGAGACCATTAAGAGACCATCAGATGTTGAAGACCACATATTTTCCAAACTTCCAAAGCCCAAACGTCGCTTCTTCAATTGCGATCCTTTTTTGTTGCATCTTTTTGCTGTGTTGGTGCTGGGTAGCCTGGATGACTTTGATGCTGGTGACCCTCCCAGAATGAGGGTGGAATCGTGGGGGGAAGGCGGACAAATTCGAACGGTGCTCTTCCCCTAGGTCAAAAAATCAACTGGCGCCGTTTGTGAAGCTTTGACCTTCAAAAAATCTAAGCATCACTGCAAACTACGCTGTAAAAAAAGAAACACATGCTGAAACACGTTTTGGTGTGAACAAAAAAACGAGGGGAAGGTCGAACGAAGCCTGTTTCATTGTGATGGCTCAAGGATAAGGTGGGCCGGCCGGGTTGCTTCGTAAAGTCAAACTCAAGGTAGTCCTCAGTCTTCCCTAGGGATACCTTTCGCGATTAGATCACATTAGATCTATATTTAGTTTGGAATTATTTTGGTTTATTGCAGGTTTTACAAACCCAATCTGTCAGCTGAGTGACCAGTAGACCCTCCGCGGATGTCCTGTCTGGTAGATATCCACCGGTTCACCATGATCAACGCGGGGTCGAAGTTCCGTCACCTTTTGCGCAAAGGCTTCGATTTGCTTCACCCCTCAGCGGCTGGTGCCGGGATGGTAATGGGAACATGGACATTTCGCAGCAGAAAAGCAGTGGATTTCGTCTGTGGAGAACTGGACAGTTGGATTATAACTGGTAGAAGTGGGTCTAGGCTCATACAGCTATGCGGCAAGGGGGTCAAACCCTGTGCATTGATCAAGGAAGTTAGGATTGTTGGGAAATACCGAACTCAAAATCCAGTATTAACCTGTGATACACCAAAACTGGCTATAATCCTTCCGATTTCGTTGATCTTGGGTGATTTCGGGGTGGTTCTCCTTCACCCATGGCATCCATGGCCATGGCAAAGGTGGTCAAAATGATCTTCATGGAATGCCTTCGACCCAGCCTTTGGGACTTTGGCCAAATTCGAACTGCAGACCTGGTGGGTCGTCCCCATGGAAGAGTTGATCCCGAGTTGATCACTATTTCGACGTGGAAAACACATGGAAAAGGATGAAAAAGGGTATGTGTGGGACGCTCACGATCACTGATTTAATCTTTTCCACAGCATTTGAAAGAATTCGTCGGGGTTCCAACCATCCGATTTTTTTGGGACTAGAAATTGCAAACCAACAGGCAGGTTATGTCTGGGCCATCATCTGCCAATCGGGAGACGATTTTTGTCAACCAGAGAAACCCATCCCAAGGATTTTCCATAACCATCGACCACCTTCAATTCCGATATTATCATAGCCATAGAATTTTTGCATCCACCTTTATATGGATAACTCTATGGATAAGTCATGATAAGTCATCGCCTTCATCCTTTGAGAGCTGTTCATCGAAGTTGGTCTTGAACTTCTCCAAAACACCTCGCCCGAAGGCACAGATATTGGAGGCTGGACGGTTCACGGCGCGATACTCCTGGCATCGCTCTGACAATGGGACCCTGAAGTTCAGTTCATCATCCTTTTTCCATATGGCAGTGTGTCAAAACCAATAGTACACCTTTAGTTCACATCAAAATAGCTGGTAAATGGATGTTCATCCCACTAAAAATGGTATTAATAGGTATTGACACGGTATTGATCCATACCCATATTTTCCCAATGAACAAATGTGAATTGGGTACCCAATTAATGAAAAAAAGGCCCAAACGCAGCTTTCCCCCAATTCTACCAGCCACACATGTGGAAATCAGCAGAACATCAACTTTTGCTTTGAAGCACCAAAACGAGAGGGCGATTCGGTAGCTTGATCCTAGATACTCAGATACTCATTCGATTATATCCCCATTGGCTCTAGCCCCATGACTTGTTGGTAAGGGGAATACCATGCCGCACAGGAGTCCTGCTGCTCGACGTTCCCCAGCGAGCGAAATTTTTCAGGAAAGCCAGCACCTACTGTGCTGGTGTCCAGCAGGTAGAGGTAGACATTGGCCAAGACGTAGGGGTGTTGTCCTAAGTTTGGTGGTCAACCCATCAAGAACTGTTGCTTGTGTAAGACCTACTTAAACCACTTAAACTTGAACTTCTGAATTGACTGTGGTTGATATATTGGCCAACTAGGGCCCCAATCATAGCGGAAAAAACCTTAAGATCCTACCCTTCCAGATGCAGTACGGACGGACAGAAGAATGAAAACGAGGAAAACATACAGCTGAAACCGGCAATTAGTCTCTATAGTGCCACAGCATCGATAGCCCCGTCAAATCATAGTTTTCGAAGGGCGTCTCGATGTAGACCATGTCGTTGTCGGTGTAAATTCGATCTGAATCCTTAGAGGTCAAATGCTAAAGTTTCTAAAGATTTTGCGCATGCTTGAAACTATCAACAATATTTCTTATCACTAGTGTCAACCCCAGATTAATAACAAGTAGTTGATGAATTAAGGAGGGCAGCCTCCTAAGTGTCATCATGTCCTGTGAGACTGGATCCCAGTTACTTGCTACAAGAAGGCCATTTTGGTTCACCTCACCTGTCTGGTTTTCTTTTAACACTGTCGTTTTAACCCGCACTTTCGAATCTTTCGATCCTTAAAAAACTCAACAGAAAAAATACAAACACATGTTCGAAACCACCAGTCATCTCTCCAGTTCTATGGGTTATATCAGTTATATCAGTTATATCCCCAATCTTCTTGTTGGCAGTGTAGAAATGACTAGAAATGACGACAACATTTGGACGAGAATCCGCCCCACCCACCACGACGATCACATCGCTGAAATTGGCGAAGCGAATGGCACGCATCGAGTCCAGGAGGATCTTCAAAGGCATTTGGTACTTCCTCGATGGACATAGGCAGAGAAAATATCACAGAATATCCATGGACAATCCATAGGGAAAAACTTGGTTTACCTGAAAACTAGCGTGGACACGAAGAAGTGGCCATTTTCAATAGAAAATTTATTCACCATTTCTGCCACCTTTTCTGGGAGCGGAGGTCAGGAAAAGATCAGCAGGATGGAGAATAAAATGGGAACATTGCAAATGATGTGATAACAGCCGCCAAGGTGACATTGCCAGATGCCGACATGATGAGGTGGGCCCAAAAAAAGGTGAACAAAATGGTGAAATCCGCAGCATGCAGGTCTTTCCATAGTTGGGACATTTCATCTTCTTTTGGCCAAAGCCATGATTCCTCAACTAGTTTGTCTGAATCATCAGGTTGAAATCTGCAACCAATATGAGCCATGTTTGCTGGTAAAATCCCAAGTTTCTCCTGTCGCTTCACCCAAAATTAAGGGGCATCCCCCAACGGTGACAGCAGGAGGGGGATGCACCCAGCTCTTGTGAAAAACTCGGTCGTTGCGAAAAAAAATCCAACAGTTTTCCCTTCGGAAAAAACCTCGAAAAATGACTTTGTTTATTGGTTATATCGCCAAATATCGTCCGTTTTATTGGTGCTTATGTCATTTCCACTGTCCATTTTTGTTGGATATGTGGTTTGCCAACCAACACAATTATCGATATTTGCACTTTCTTTAGAATCTATTAGAATCTTAGAAAAACAATAATAATTTCCAATAGTTATTCATCCATATACCCTCTGCTAAACTAACATAGCTATGGAATATCACCATTTTATAGCTGGGTAAATCCACTATTTCGACTGGGCCATGGCTTCAATAGCTTTTTGTATGTTTACCAGGCCGGCTACTTATCATATATCAACCATATATTAACCATATATTTGTTTTAACCATAGTATAACCATATTTGTTGGGTAAAACTGATAGTTTTCACCACATTTTAACCACATATTTCTGGTGTTTTTTTCCCCAGGAACCTCCGAATCCCCGTCCTTTGGCTTCACTCCATTGGCCGGTGGACCGGGCGGAGCCGGTGGACCGGGTGGCACCTCCTGGCGCTGAAAAACCACCATGAAACCACCAGAAAAATGGGAGATATTTGGGAATATTTATGAGAAAAACCATGGTGATATGATAGGATTTAACCATGGTGATTTGAATTTGATCATCGGATTTGCCATGTTCAAAAAATGGTTGGTCGATTTAAGTTGCTGATGGTGCAACCTTAAAAAATCATGGTCGTTTTCCGGAATGTATCTCCATCAGGTCGCCTTCAGGCGACTCAGGAAACCCAGTTTTGAGACATCCCCATGAAGGGTTAAGGGAGCATCCAAGGTAGGATACTTCAGACCTTTTCAAGACATTCGGAAATGAAGAGAACAAAACATGACATAACAGTATTTCTAGTATAATATAGTATTATAAAATCTTATCATATTTCTTTCATCACTATATTCTCTATATTTAACATCCATAAAAAATCACCAGCCCCAGGCCTCCCAGGCCTGTCGTGCTGCTGTGGCCGGCGCCGGCTCATCTGGTGGAGGCGGCGGAATCGTGCCTTGTTCTGGTGAAACTGGCCATGGAAAAATGGGGGGATTCCATTTCAGTACCAGTGAACGCGAGTTGTGGGTTGTATATGTACATATATATATATATGTATATATGTAAAATATCTATACATGCACGTATTTATATATCTATGTATATATATATACACGCATGTATGTATACACATTATTACCAGGAATAATAAGTCTGTAAATTTGTCGTTGTACAACTCCTTTCAACTCTGGCGAGACTGGAACGGGTTGATTAGGGTGCAACAACATCATTCACAGCTGAACTAGTGATGGAGGCCCTCCTTCTTGAGGGCACATCGCTAAGCCATTGCACCTAGAACCCATCTATTTACCCACATCTAAAGAGAAAATGAGTACGCATATAACATGCCAATCGATGGAAATAACTTATATAACTAGTACAAATCATACTAACAAGAAACATCTATGTATCAATCGAATGTATATGTATTGTGACCCTCCAATTCAATATGCCATGCTATAATGTTATATACTTAAAATATCTTAAAATACTTCAAGTATTTCTCCCCAAAGCCAAGGCAGCGGATTCCACGTGATGCCCAGTGACGCACCACAGGGCCATCCTCGCTCTTGGGCGGCTCCGCCTTGTGTGGCTCCAGATTGGCCTCGGTCACCAGGAATCCAATTAGGGATTCCAATGGGATTTCATGGGAATTTCAGCAGGAGTGTAGCAATATCTAGCAATAAATAATGGGATATAAAATGAGAAAAGGCTTGCTGGAAATCAGCTTGAATTTGGTTGAACCATAGTGGGTATCAAATCATGGATATGCAATTGGTTTTATGCCGGTAGTTTGCGATACAGTGGTGAAGCAATGAGAATGGGGACGACACTGGTATCATGTCAATGGAATGGGGATAGAATGGGAGATCAAACTCATCAACAACATGACATTTATATATTTTGACAGTTACACACCTTTTCTTAATCTGGAAAACACACAAATTTGCTAGAACCCACCACTTGTAACCCTTAATCCATCAACATCCATTTCCGATGGCTTAGTGACCTGTGATAGCCGGATCCACTGGGCGCCCAGTGGCCGGTCGGAAGGCCTTGCCGGTGCCATCCTCCATCCGCACCTTCCAATAGCCATTGCCCTGGCCGTTCAGGGGACCTGAAGGTATCAAATCGGATAGAAAAATCATATGTTTTCATGGTTAAATTCGTGTAAAATCCATGCTAAATCCATGTTAAATCCATATTTTGATGGCTAATTAACCATGCAAAATGATGGCTATCACTGAACATGACCATAGGACCAAAACAAGCTAGTTGGAGGTCAAGAAATCTGTTGCATTCGGCATTCGGCAACCGCAGTCACCAGCGACAAAAAAGGGGATATAGGCCCAACAAATGGATACCAATGGCCTGAACGAATCTATGCCATCTATGGATTGCCACTAAACAAGATTTGTTGATGGCTAATTGGTTTGATTTGTGATAGATAGATAGTTATATGGTTTGATTTGACAACTATGCCATATAACTATCAAGATCTGTGGTTTGATTTGTTGACCCGTTTTGTTCACAGGAAAGATAGGAAAGGCAGAGTCCCACCTCGTCCCACTCGATGAGCAAGCCAACCTTGCCGTTCAGCTCGCCTTTCGCTTTCAGACCTACCTAGATGGCGATGCCGGACCCCCACTTGGGGGCTACCAACCATCAGTTTCTGGGAAATTTTGGGATTCTTGCTGACAAACAATGATATATTAGCTTGATATGCCTTGATTTGTTGGGTCGGAGAAGATCATGAAAACCACGGTGCACCCTGGAGATGTTGACGATAGTTAACGTCGCGACGTGATTTGCATAAGGACCCATCCCACTCGATGGCTGAATAATGGATTAACGAATGATGGGAAACTAAAGAAACTAAGCAATCACGGCAAAACTGCAAGTTCAATGGGACAATTAAATCAGAATATATATATATAATTATATATATAATAATATATGTATATGTATATATAAATTATATATATATATATATATATTCATGGGCTGAATGATTTAGGGTACATGGATGGAACCAGTTTGAAACCAACTTCCAGTTGCATAGCCGAGTAACAACTCGGACGAACTGTCCTGCGGTAAACTCCTCAGCGCAGAAACACACTTGCTTTCAATGCCGGGATTCCTAAAGTTGAGATCAATCATTTGTAAGTTGGGTATGTTTCCAACCTATCTTCAATAATCCATGTCTCATCGTGTTTCTGACCTGCACATCATTCCAATGTTGTATGGGCAATGTTTAAAAAAACTGCTTATCATCCCATTACTAACCATATTAACCATACATCCACGTCAGAGATCATCCTTACAAGATAAGCATTCAAGATTGTGTCCTCAACCTTCCCAGCCATATTAACTGATGCACCATGGGACAGAGACCCAGTGCTTTACGGCTCCTTTACGGCTCCTTTACGGCTCCTGTGTGATTCATCCAAGTTTCATGTTTCATGCTTCACCTTTTTCTTCTTTTCCTGGCTGAAGTGCTTTGAGCGCTCAGGGGCACCACATGGGCACCAGGGGGCATCTTCTCTTTGAGCTTGCCATTGTGGTTAAATGTACAATGGTTCATTGCTTCTTAGATGTATGACAGTCATGAACCCCTTGAAACACATAGTATCAGTCAATTTATTGTCATGAGTCATGATCCATCATGATCTTTCATAAGGAAAATAGCACCCCAAAAGATATTGGAACCTACTGACATCGCAAACACTCTCAGAATTTATCCAACCACCTGGTTTTCATCCTCTTTTTTCTTCTTTTTCTCCATTCCCAAGCAGCGTCACAGGCCACTGCGGCCACTGCCCCGGGGCATCGGCCAATTCGCAGCTCCCCAGCGCTGCATCGATGCCGCCCTCGAGGCGCCGGCAACGGCGCAGCGCCGAAGGCCACTGCAGGCAGCGGCAGAGCGCGGCCAAAACGGCGCTGGAGCTGATGGCTTTTTTTTGCAGAAGGGCCATCCTGGGGATACACTTATATATATATATATGCCTAATAATAAATCCCAATTGGGGATGGTTTATGATGGTGGATGTGGTACTAATGAGCCATCCCCAGGGTTTATTGTTGGTTCTGCTTTTGGGGATGGGATGGGTTTAGGGTTGGAGAGAACTTGGATGGACATAAAACTTAAGTGATTTTAACAACAGTGAGAGTTTAACAAACAAGAGAAGCCACAAGAGCCTGAACATGATGCAGGTATCTGATTAACAACCATAGGATGGGATTTATCCTTATGAATTGAAACCACCAAGGTGATTAATATACACGTCATTCCCCATGAAACAGGCCTCTGGAGCCCAATAATCCATGATGGTCTCCATGTATCTACCAATGGCAGGGACGCCCATCGCTGTACCATACCCACTGTTGGTAAATTCCTGACCTGTTAAACCATCTGGAAAATCAACTTTTTGTGGTCAATTAATTAAAAGTAATCAATATTGTTGGTGGTTGTCCCTGTTGTTGTGGTCATTTATGGTCATTTACGGTCATTTACGGTCATTTACTGTCATTTATGGTCATTTATGGTCATTCAATTTATCTGAACTGCGGCCCAGTAACTCCATTTGCTGCAGTTGTTGCACCGCCCAGTGCCACTCCCGGCCCTTTTCACAGGCCGAAAGCGTGGCGTTGAACGTGACCACGCCGAGGGAAAGGTCACAATGTGAGGACGTCGAGGTCAGTTGCTGGAATGCTGTTTGCCACATGCCGCTCTTCTCCTTAGATTCCGTAAAGGATGGTGCAAAAGAATTGCAACCATCATGGGGCTATGACCAACCAACGGGGATAGCTATAGGTACTTTATCTGAGCCAAGTTAAATTTTTCAACCAGCTATAGAATAATAGGTATTTTGCGAACCACGGGCAATAGGGACAGAGGGTCAACAAAACCAAAATGCGTTTGAAGCCCTCAAAACTGACCACCTGATCTCTTACATCCCATAAGCTCCTCATTGCATTGAGACAATCCAACTTGCTGACCTTGCTTACCTTGCTGACCATTGGATTCAAACTTGGTAATCGGCGAACACAAACAGCACATGCTTTGTGATTTTCCGCTTCCAAGTCACCAAGATGCATATCTTTGTTGATTTAAATCATACTAAATTACCATTTTTGTTGATTGAATCGCCATATTTGGCAGCTCAGATTCCCATTTTCACGGAGGCACAAGGGGCCACTACCCGTTCCGCCCAAGCGTCACACGCGCTCAGGGATGAGTTGAAACTGATGGTGCTGGGTCTGATCTCTTGAAACACGATGCCATCAAAGAAACACCTCAGGGTTCAAAAAGATAGGACCGATAGGACCAGATTCCCTGCGATACGGTCCTTTCTTTAGATCATACCCGCTTCTGCAAACATTAAAATAAATATGTCTAAACACATCTAAACACTCACACACACTCTCTCTCTCTCTTGGATAGATGTATCAGGATATGCACGAAATCAATCACTTGGCAAACTATCATCCCTTCACTTACTTGCTGGGTGATATGGATTACCATATTGTATTAGGGCATAGTCACCGTAACACAAACACTAGAATCAATCCAACCACATTTGGAACAGACAAAAATCTGTCAAAGCAACAAGTATAGCCTCGCCATTTTACTAACCATCAAACACCAAACACCATTTGGCAGCACCCACTTCAACGAAGCATGCTGCAATTTTTACCAAGGTGTGATAGACGCAGAGGATATCGAATTCTTAATCAACAAGAATCAACATAGGGAGTTCACCAAGAAACATGTGATTTTTAGTGGAGGAGGGGTACCAAATTGGGAGTTGAACCAATGGATGAATCAACTGGTGTTTTCCTGTTTGACCCACACATTTCGATCGCAATTTTTTGAGGTCCCAGGACCATCCAATTTCAAGGGGTCCATGGTTTTGAGGTGTTGCCAGTTGATGTGGCAAAGGTCTTTTCCTAGCTGCATCCATTGCAGTGTGTTTCACCTTGCAAGAATATAAGAACCAGCAGAAATTCGCAGGAACTATTGTAGTTGTTTTGCCCGTAAAAAGGGTTTCACCAACCAAAACATCACTGATGGCGCCAAAGTGCATGGCGCCAGCCCAACGATGTCCTTTCTCACATGCACTGATGATGGCATTGTAAGAAATCACATCCCTGGTCCAGCAACTGGCCATCGCAGAAAGGGCTTCTTGCCAATGGCCTCCTCCAATTTTCCCCAGGTCTGAGACCATAGGACCCAAAATCATGTGGCCGGTGGTGAGTGGTTTTCAGGCATATCAATTTTCAATGGGAATCAAATTTGGTGGCCCAAAATCCTACAAGATTCGCACGCGAAAGACATGATTTTGGCCCACATTTTGACCCCAAATTTACAATTTCCAGCGGGTTGCCCTAGATGGAACTCCCTTTTTGTCGCCATCTAAAGAGGACGTCCTTCTTCCGCAGCGCTGATAGCTGCATTGCGCATGATCGAATTGTCTTGAGATATCTGTCGTGCCTGAGGAGCCACGGGTGAATTGCGGATGGCGATTTCTTTGGATCATTTGAGTAAACATGAAAACATTACAGTCATGGCAATAAAAACGAGGTTTCCCATGACGCTTCTGCGGAATGTCAACTTTTGATTGGCTGGATGGCTGATCAACCGCAAACCCCGGTGTAAGCATTCTGCATTTGCCGGTTCAGGCTGAACTCGGAAGAGTGTCATGCAGAAATGCCCCACAAGAGCGTCTTGTAAGAACGTCACACAGGAGTGTCTCACAAGGCCTGAAAGGTAAAACTGTCTTACAAAAGTATCGTCCAAGAGTGTCCCACAAGTGTCAAACAAGAGTGTCTTGTAAAAGTCTCGCACAAGAATGTCGGATAAGAGTGTGTGACAGGATTGTTACACAAAGTGCCTTACAAGGGTTTCCGGCAAGTGTCCCATGTCAGTAGCCCACGAAAGTGTCCTGCAACTGTGTTTCATTCAGAAAAGTCCCTCACAAGTGTGTCACACAAGAGACCAACTCTTGAGGAGTGTCTAGAACACGGTCTCATAAGTGTCCTGCAAAGAAAGTGTCTCACAAGAGTGTCCAACGAGCATGTCCCACGAAAGGGTCAAGCGAGAATGTCCTACGAGATCCTACGAGAGTGTCTTGCAGTGTCCACAAATATATCCGATAGAAGAGTTGTGCCTCTGAAAAGAGAGTCTGTTTATCACAGACTGTCTTACGTTCGCGTGCTTCATGAAAGAGTCTTACAACAATGTAAAGAATGCCGTTGAAGAGTGACACTACTTTAGCACGGGAACATGCTTGTCTTTCATGCACCACTTTTCATTATGATTGCAGGTTCATGGCCATGTCCAAAGGGTCAATGGACCGACCAAACCTTTGAGCCACTTCCGGTGCCTCTTCAAGCAACTGCCAAGCACTCTGCCAATTTTGGCACATGGCAGAGGTGTAGCTGATGGCAGTTCCTAGAAAACAACAGCTTTCACCATCTAATGTCATCTAATGTCTACATCTGTTGGGATCTCCATGGATTTCCTGTCAAAGTCTCCTTCAATTCTAAGATACTCGAAACATTCTTTGGGATGTTCGGCCTCACACCAACAATTTTGCAAAGAAAATCCTCATGTGTCTGCAATTCGCTTGTGTCCTAGGAATCACTTTGATCTGGGGATCTTCCACCTACCCGGTAGGGGAATTTGGTTGAAGGTAGTGGAATCTTCCCATTTCCAATAGGTCCATTGTCATTGTCTGTCTGGGAGATGCTCCACGCCATGTTTGGTAACAAGAAGGTGTCACCAAGGGCATACCATCGGCATCAATACGGAAGAAACACCAATATATTCATGAGACAGAGAGAAGCACGAACAGGTTGAAGGTGGTACATCCAGGATGCCAATGGCAAACTTCCTTCCAACCACCTAAACACTCAACAATCATCAACAATCTCCACTAAATATAAGACCTGGCCCGAAATATAAGTGATTTGGGGGATTTCAGCAGCTTTTCATGATGACTCATGGGAATACACTGCTGCAAAGCAGTGAGATCCCCAAGCACCAAACCGCACCATGTTACAATGTGACAACCATAGCGTTGATGACTGGTTAACAACCATAACAACCTATGGTTTTATGTCTGTTGTTATCCAACATAATTGTAATCTATTGTTTTACAAGTAATCTATTGTTTTATGTCTGTTTCATGCCTATTTGTCCCTATTCACTGCCAATCGCTGAAACCATGTTACCAGAGCTGGTAATAGAACACATAGCTGGGGGCCCCGTGCCCCATATCCCCATGGCCATTCTCCACTGCGAGATTACCAGGTCATCCCTGTCCCATGAACAAAATCCCAGAAAAAACACCATGGATTCCCATGATTCGAATGTTGGTTAGCCATCCATATTTTTTCACAACAGCCATGACAACCAGCAAAGGGCGTATTTCCTGAGTCCTGGGGTTGCAACCCCAAATCATGAAAAAGTCAGTCATGTATTACTGTATGACCATGAGTTAGTATTGAAACCCACTGTGGGCCACTGGTTGACCATGACTTACGAAATCCCCATGTTCAAAGCCATTGTAACTGGATATACAATACCAAATTATACTATATATATTCTATATCCCAGTAATAATATGGGATATTTCTGGGATATCTACAATATCCACACTTAAAAAATCTGGGGTTAACCAACATCAGCCATGTCAACCAGGAGTCCCAGTCCCAGTCCCCACCGCTCCTTGCATCGTTGCTTTCAACTCCCGCAGCAGTTGCAGCGTTTTGTCCCAGGCGACAGCGGCCACTGCGGCGATGCTGGCGTTGAACGTCACCAGATCCGGCTGCCCGTGGAGCAAATGCAGGGCGTACGGCCAGGCCTTGGGAAATCTGGCCAAAATAAGGGTTTGAAGATGTTTGAAGTAGCGAATATGGGAAGAAATGGAGAAACCAAACAAAATTTGGAAACAGAAGACGTGGGGTCTACAACTAGCAATGGGGATTCAACGAACATGAGGACATAACGCAGCAATGAAAGGGTTTTTTCACCAGTTAAACCAACAAAAGTGTGGATTGTAAGAAAGGCACATCATCCGTCAAAAGGTGATGCAACGGAACATGCTGGGAGTATGGCTGCTCGGTGCTTGATAGCGGTCGTGACACCGGTTGTTTCACCGGTCGGTGGTTGGTAGATGGATGTGGTTGGGGGGCCCGAAGTAGAATGGCTTGCCATGATTGGAGCCACGGTGCCCCAAGTTTGCTAATCAACTGGTAAGATTGACCCATCTTACCAGTTGGCCATTGTCAGTTCAGGTTTCCTATCCTGATATTGGTTGTCTAAGATCCCAAAGTCGTTGTGGAGGAACATCTGCATTCTTTGTTGATTCTGTATGATTCACTTCGCAATATACAGATGTTCAATTCCACAGAGGTTCTAAGCCCATATGCGCTGATACCATGTTTTGTGTGGCCTCACATATTCGAGTAACAAAAAGGCTTGGTCAATCCATCTCAAGTTGGGATCAATCCATATGCAATCTATGGCAAATTATGGGAACACATATTTGCTCCTTGATTATCCTTTATGTCTATATATCTGTGTGAATATGTAATATGTAATATGTAATATCTATATTATTAATAATATGTAATATGTCTATGTGAATAGAACTTCACCCACTCAAAGTCTATCAGACTCAATTGCAAATGAAAACATCCAAGGATCTGTCAGGGCACTGATGAGCGCATTCTTCATGGTCAGCTCGTTGTGAAGTTCTTGTCGGGCCACCAGTTGGAGGAGGATCGCCCAGGACTTTGTTTCCTCGTTGGATAGTGATGGATGGTCGAATGGGCAACTGCGGTGTTGAACATCTTTGTCCACCAAGAATGGATTAAGATAATACTATAAAAAATGTGAAATCAATATCGACAGAATATCACATCAATATCAACCACATGAACACACATAAAAACATTAAAAAAAAACCAATTCACCAGCCGCCATGATCGCATAGCGATATCAGCCACTCAGTTTAATCTCAGGATCTGCGGCGTTCAAATTGGCAATGTAGCTACTGCTGTCAGAACGCACCAGGCGCAATCGCATCTGTTCTAAGAGATCGAGGCTTCTCTGCCAGTCGAAGAGCTTCATGCTGGTGTTGTAGCTGATCCTGAGGGATATGGAGGGTTTGAGATGCTCAGACCCCTCAAATATTATGCTTTACTACATAAATCTAATTTAAAAGTGGATGGCTTTGTTGCATAAATGATGGTCCGTCTATTTGACATCCATTTCCTCCTTTTTTTGGGTTGCGTGCACCCCGCTGTGTTCCTGCTTGTGTCCGCCTGTTTTCTCCATGCTTGTTGGTTGCATCAACTATTTTTGGGCAAACCAACCTTCGATAGCTATCTCCCATTACTTGTTTGTTGTATTCAACATTCTTTAGTTGAGAGTGGCTGCTCACATGCGTTGAACCCCCCTTTTAGCTGGTTCTTGCCCCGATCTTTGATGATCTATGTCCCACTTTTTTGCTGGTTGAATCACTCTGTTTCAGTGATTCAAGCCTCATGTTTGCCATTGAATACCCCATCCACACTGGTGAGATCCCCGTCTGAAATAGTTGGACCAGTTGCATCCACCATGTTTTGGATATACAGATTGTATCCACATCCCAAATCCACCATGTTTTGCAGCGGCTCAAATCAGTTTGCAGCTTGTCTTCTTGAACATCGTGCAGAAGCTTTTGGGCGGAAGGCCAGAAACGACCCTGGACACCGAAGATCATGGTATTCACAGTGATGATGTTGCTCCTTTTTCAAACACAGGCGATGTGTCAACATTTGTGGTTCCCAGGGATGAAAGATGGACACCCAAAGGTCATGCTGCTGCACCGACATGTTGACTTTGTTGGGAGGGGCTGGTCATCGGCACGTTTCTCTGTTTCAAACCTTTTGGGAATCAGGCCACAAACTTTCAGGATCTCTGTATATCTGTTCGATGATGTTTGATGAATCTAAAGGAACATTAGCAGGAACCGGTGGGCTTTTCCATTTTACCAAAACTTAGGGGGTTGTGTACAAACCAACGTTGTCCGTTGCAAAGGATGCAGACACATATCTCCTGAGGTGTCTCGAAGGCATGGCCACCAGCATCTCAACAGCCTCCTGGTCAAGGGGTACAATCCACTATAGTCACTATGCCTTCTGTTATGAAATGTTATGAAGGTGACTATGGGGATACTCATCCCCATTTGTGAAGATCTATCCCACAAATAACCAACTATCCCCATCTATATCCCCATTCTATCCCTTTATCCAGCTGTCCATGACGTGGCACTTTCAGTGGGATCCTGCCACTGCCGGCTGCGGCTGCACCCATTGAGGGCTGCGTTGCAGGAAATCGTGTCCTGGGCGAAATGGTCCCATCATGTCCCATCATGTCCTCGCGATAAGGAAATTGGAAGAAGCTGATGAACTTGGGATTAGAATGGTTAGATCTGGATCAACCATGATCAACACTGAAGTGCCACCTTTTCAACCAAAAACCCGCTGAATCGGGTGGATCTCCAATAAATGGAAGAACTAAAAAATGGTTCCTGTCGAAACGCCATGTGTCTGGTTGTAAGTTCCTCTCCAAGAAGAGGCGCAATGAGTTCTGCCACAGATCAGCTGCGGCGCATGCAGTGATGGCGGTGCTGTACCTGACCCCTGGGTGACCATCTCAGATACACGACTGGAGTTATAAGTGATGAGGCATGGTTCATATACCAGTTGTATATCGGGAGTGTAATCCAACTGGTTATCATGATCTGGGAAACGTAAACATCACATTGCTGCAGTAAGGGGAAGGTGACCCAGGTGACCCACATGCATCGAAGCACTACAGGTCAACGCGGGATGGTACCCTGCTATGAGTCGTGGTACCCGGGCAATATGGCCTTAATCGAACCAACAAGTTTGGGAGAAACTCCAGCTATCGCTATTTAGAACCCCATTTGTATCTGGTAGTTCGAGCCCGACATGGAGGTGCAGTCGAGTTGCTGAATGATGCTCTTCTGCAAACCTCGGAGCGAATTGCCAATCAGGAGCTCCAAAGTTTCTTTGTGATTTATTACACCACAAGGCTTGGTAGAATTGGGTACTGTATGCCAGCAACCAGCATATCAAATAATCTTATGTGGTAAACATAAGACCGGAAAAAACAACGAGGTACACATGTTATCTTCATTGTCAACAAATCATTGGATGATGTTAAACCTCATTTAAGCTGCTACTATTTGATGATCATCATCGAGTCACATTGCTCCAGGTGAGAGTCTCAGTAATCCAGAAGGTTATGTTGGTATTCTTGACCCTAAACCCTATGCCCTATGAACCACCCTAAACCGATATGTCCGATGATATAGCCAATGTAATATGAAACAACTATATCAAAGGAATATTTTCAGTAGATTTATGTCATCCAATACTATAATCCCATGGTCTTAGCTTGGTATTTTTCATGGTAAATCCCTTAAATAACTCCTACATGAACTCAATACTGTCTGGAGTCTGGACACCCTTCTCCTCCACTCTGGCTGCCACATTCAGAGCATCCGTCCAACAGCACTTGGGAGCCATGGAGCAAAAAGGCGCTGCTTGAGCCGAGGGCACGTTGCGTTGGTAGCTCAAGGTTTCACCAACGTTGGGAAAAATGGGTTAACCAAGCTAACCAAGCAAAAACCAGGGTTTAACCAAAGCACAAACGATGTTTCACCCGCCAAGTTGAGGCTTCAACCAAAATAAAATCAGGAAATCTGATGCCAAACATATCTGTAGGTTCAATCATTGAGAATGGAAATGTCGACCATTAAATACTCGCACGGTGATCAACGCATGTGGGGATTTCACCAACAAGAAAAACGAAATCTGATAAAATATGTTCAGCCATGACTTTCGCGCTTTCCATATGCAAGAAAGATGAGACTTGCCCTAGGGCCGTTAGACAAAGTATAAGAACAAACATCAGCGCGCCTTGCCCTTGTCCTTCCCTTCAGGTTTCTTTCTCTTCCCTTTGCGTTCCTTCACGACAACGCAGAAAATCATTGGGACTGATTCCTGTCCCAAGTTATTGATCCCAATCATCACAATAATGGAATCCTATTAATCCCCATTGATCCTATTAATCCCAAGTGTTATCCCACTAAGGTTAGAGGCGAAACCATCAACTGCACCTGCACCACCTCGACTGCCTCCTGGGCAGGAATGGGGTTGGTAGTAAAAAATAGATCGCACACCATAACACACATGTAAGTGTAGTTAAATATAGGGTATCTAAGGCTAGACTAATACTTATGTGATTCAGTGGCAACAGAACAACTAGCGAAAAAAATGCAAGAATGCCAGGTCTGTTTCCCAAAATGTCTTGAAAACATTTGAGAGAATCGGAATCAACCAAGTTAACAGTCAAAATATGCGCAGCTATGGGTGTCAACATTGGAAATCGTGACGTGCCTCAAAACCTCCAAATCATGGCATGATTTCACAGAATTTTAATCAAAGGCCACACAGATCTCTCCATTCTGGCTTCCGTCTATCTGTCCATTCATCTATATCTACCTATATAGATAATGTAATCTAATCATATGCATGCACACATGTATATATATATATATACATACATATGTGTATATATATGTATGTATATGTGTGTATGTATATGTGTGTATGTATATGTGTGTATGTATATGTGTGTATATATGTGTATATATATATACATATACATGTATACATGTATAAATATATACATGTAGTGCAATGCAATGCAATGCAATGCAATGTCATTAAATCTGTCTGATCTGTGTAATATATATATATATACAAATATGTAAATATGTAAATGCATGTCTATTACACAAACCAATGCACATATGTATGTTGTGAACACACATTTAGAAGATTTTGGAAGTATGTGCCAGTGGAGGTGGGATGCTTTCGATTCTACTAGTTTGTGGGCTCTTTTTTCAGTGACCTTTATATCCTTTACTCAATTGGACATGATTCAGGTGAGAAAATGGCATTCCATTGGTTCATCCCTTTACACACGTGGGATCAAATCGGAAAAAAAAGGATGATCTATTACTAAAAGAAACAAACCACTTGTTTAGTTTCAAAGCAAACATGTCTATTGATGCTGGTTGAAACATGGTGAGACCCATCTACGAGTCATCCCCATGTTGCTCAATCAACAGCTAGTCCCCGTTTTGCCGCTTGAAATCCAAGTTTATGTTGCTAAAACTCCATATCCACTGTTATGTGGTATTATATGGTCAATATCATTTCTGGATGATTATTATACATTATTATACATTATTATACATTATTATACATTATTATACATTATTATACATTATTATACATTATTATACATTATTATACATTATTATACATTATTATACATTATTATACATTATTATACATTATTACGAAACATTGTTAATAAATACATAAACATCCTATCTACTGTGCGCCTCGGATTCTGTCAGCTCGCTGGAGGGCGAATCGACACCATCGATGCTGAAGGTCAGGGTGGTTTGCAGCCTCAGTCATGTCAAATTCCATGGGAAACGGAAAATAGGGAGCACTGAATATTGGGGTATTCGGTTATTAATGGTTATTAAGCCTACGTTTTATGATAATTCACGAACCTGAAAAGAACTGATTCTTGAGAACTTCCATGTACTTCCCCTTGGCCAACCATGGCGTTGTGGTGAGATTGCTATACCCAGCCATAAGTGGCTCGTCACCAAGTTTTTTACTGTGGGGCGGATTCCTGCATTGGTCAATTTGTGCCTAAAAATCAACTGAACTAGCAACTAAAGTATCTAAAGTAAGGTTTGCCAAATGGGTGTGGGAGGAACTGGGTTTTTCACTCCAAAAACGGTGGGTTCACACCAAAAGAGGCTGAAATTGAAGGAGATCAACACACCTCTGATTGGTGAACTACCTGGGGATGGGTAGTTAAACATATGTGACGGAATGGAATGGAATGGATTAGCCTCTGGTTATTTCACATAGGGAAAATCACCATTTTTAATAAGTAACGGTAAATAGGTAATTCATCCATATACAGAGGTTTCTCAAGTCGTGTGGGATCCCCAAACCATGGGTTTCAATACGAAAATGGTCTAGGTTTGGATAATTTCAGGTACCCCCCATTTGAAGAAACCTGCAACCACCGTCCACTGTCCCCACATCAAGGAGCTCCCCCTGCGTCGGTCGGATGCGAAAGGGCAAGGTGATTGCTGCACCCGAAGGGAGCCTCAAGGGGTACAACCAGGATCAAACGACCAATATCGAGTGATATAATCTGTATCAACTATCTGTATACCAAGGGGCATGGTTTCAAGAACACTATCTTCTTGAATCAACGCCACTGTGTCAGATTGGTTGGTCAAATACTCAGTTTGCTGCATTAATAGACGTTAAAATCAATGTGGCACATCCACAAGCATAATCCATTTGCCCGGATGGATCCGGATGCAAAAATATCAGCCATGACCAGTGCATCGTTCAGAGGGCCTTATCATCTGACCATCAAGATATTCAAACTCTGTCGGAGCCTTATTCAAATAATGATCATCATGATTATGATGAGTAGTACGATGATTATGATTGCCATATAGAGTAGTATGAGTTATTTCCAAATATTTACGACATCTCTGATGTACTGTATATAGGTTCAAATTATTGATGGATATGTTTTACACGTTTTTTTACTGTTACCATCCAAATGTCAATGCAGGGCTTTCCCATCATTTTGCCAATTGACTTAATTCTCAATTAGTTTGTTTGCACACACCGACCGTGGCTGTTTCCATTGAAAGTCACTCAATCTCTTGCAGCGAGGATGCCACGTTATCATTGTCGCTGCTGTTCTAACTCCAGCTAATTATCACATCAGTGTAGCTGGGCCATGTTCAGCCCAAACCCCGAGTGCAGGTTGGATTCTGTGCTTTTGGCCACCTGATCAAATGCACCAAGTGGCTCTGTGTCCACTTCCTTCTCCACCTGTCCACCATCTGCAGAAAAATCCGATTCGACATGCTGTGCATCCTGAAAACAAGTGTAAAACATGAGTTTGGAAGATGGTCGTTCTACTAGAAGCTGCAATTCTTGGAGTTCCAACGTGAGTTTTGATGGGGAACAGCATCCCATTGGCCCATTGGCCTATTATGAGCTATCCTTGAAACAAGTGGTACAGTATCTTCAGTTATGTCAGTTACCCATGCTTTCCTATAGATTTTCCCCAGCGAAAACAACGATCTCCAATGGCCTTGGTCATGGTGTCGTTGCGACCAGATCGCAGCCCAACGCCATTGGTGGAGAGATCACGCAACAACAAACCACCGGTCTCTGGCCTTGCGATGCCATGGATGCCATGGATGCGGATCCTTGTAATGCTCCCAGAATGGATTAGAGAGTGTAAATTCCTTCCACGAGTCTGATAGAGATTCACATAATGGACTCTATATACATATATATATATATATGAATATATGAATGAATCTGTATCCAGAAAAAACTACGCGATTTCCACCCTAAAGGACACTTAAACAATATGGGAACCACTGGACCCACAGAATGGTTCAGATTGGGTCATTGACCAACTTTGCCATAGAGGTACGGGTCAAAATTGGGACACCCAAATATGGGATGGTACCAAAAAAACATCATGTCTGGGTTCCAAGGTAGTCTCTCTCTAATACCTGTTACAACAAGGTCATTCAGCCTTAGCACAAGAAGTGTTGCAATGTCTCGGCTTCGGAAGGACAATCCGAGGGAATGCCTTAGGAAATCCCCGGCAGAAAATCTTCACCTCTATAAGGACTGATGGATTTCTTGTGCTATGTAGATATAGCATGTAGAGAAAAAACTCAAAATTCTACTCCCCATGTGCAGGATGGAAGAGCGTCCCCAAATGTCCATTTTCCACCCGGTTTTTGACCATCTGTGGTCCCATTTCGAGGCACACCAAGGGACGAGAATTTGATCTCCAAGTGAACCCAGGAAACTCCAGGTTTATTCACAACAATCCCACCTCGGGTGAAACACAGGTGTCCAAAGATGCTCATTCTACACAGCATGGGGTTCTCCTAAAAACTACACCATGACTGGGTGCTGTTTGGGTGTATCCCTGCAGCGTCACGAGGCTTTTTTTTTCAAGTGGCTTCCTGGTAGATGGTAGACTCTGCAGGCCATGGCAATGGCTGATCTTCCCATTTGACCCCCAACAATGCCCAAATTTCACCCCTCATCCCCGGATCCCCATTCCGGCGTCGCTGGCGGCGGCCATGGCACTTTTTTTGTTGCGCCCCACCTTTAGCGGGTCATCTTTCGCACCTGTGATGGCCGGAGATGGCCAGAGGTGGCAGGTCCGGAGTGGTGATGGACGAAATGGATAAAAGACATGTGAGACACTGCTACATCATCTATTCATCGTTTTTATGGGCGTTTCAAATTTTAAAAGGTGTAAACATCTGTCCTGAATTTGTGCTGGCAGTCTGGGAATCTCCTTTTTGTTTGCTTAAGTGACCATCTGTGCTGCTGATACTATGCTTTGCATTCCACTTTAAGTGGTTACACAATGTTACATGCCCGTAGTTGATTTCCACCTTGCATGGATCACCATTATTTTATTAGAAGGGTTATAGTTATAGCTGTATCCTTGTTGTACCCAGTAGACCATCAACGTTTGGCGCGCCGATTTTGTGTGTTTGTTGGTCACTACCGAAATTTCCATGGCCGAAGTATGTTTACTAGCATTTATTGGCTATTGCCTGCTGGTTGGATATCCATGTTTACTAATGTTTACCCATCATTAGCCAGTAGCCAATTGAGAACTGCTGATGGTTTAGAAGTGTTCCTTGTTGGATCTTGTTGGTATGATGTTGATCTTGCCCATTCCTACCATCATTTTTCCAGAAGGATATGATATTCATCAACGGGGCTCAAAGTAAATCAATAAGAACGAACCACCAAGGTCTCTCTGTCATTGATGCTGATTTCCCAGTCATAAGTTGCTGAAGACAAACCCATCTGACGATAGATATATGCACCATAAAACATACATTAAAACCAAATCGTTGGCCTAATTTATGACTACTGTCTTACCTACCTTGGGGGCCCCGCATTACAAGAAAAACTGATTATGTAACATTCCGACAATATCCCGTGAAACTCCCTATTGATCATTCCGATCTCCTGCTAATGTTCCTCTGGGCAAACCATGGCAAACCAAATCATTAAACATATGATCCTGCTGAAACATTCCATTAGTATACCATTCATATCCCAATAATATTCCATCAATGGAATCTTCAGAAAAATAGTCCTCTAATATTCCATTACTCAGTGTATACAGCAAAATCATAATAACGTTGAACATTATAATATCCCATTAATATCCCATTTTCATATCAATATTCAGTAATATATTTAATAATTCATCTCCCATTCTTTTTGGAATATTAGTATCTAGTTAATATTCCATAGAGATGGTTATCCCATTAAAATTGAGCTGGATTATCCCATAAAAATCACCGAGCTGCTCAATTGAAAATGCATGGGCGTCGGATCGTCGCTGGTGGTCACCGAAAAGAACACGGTCAGCGGCTCGTCCATGGCGCCACATGGGAGGTGGGGCGCGTCGGCGCGGTGGCTGAAAACGTGGGGTCAATGGAGCAAAGGTGGGTGGATTATTGGGAAAAAAACCGTGAAAAACGATGAAAAAACAAAGTTGGTGGATGTTGAATGTTTAACCAAAGTTGGTGAAATGTCGGGAAAAACCATGAACAAAGCCTAATCCTTATGAGTTGGGCTATTGAGTTTCAAGGTCCAGCGAAGCAGAAACTTGGTCTTTTGAGGGTAACCCTTCCAGATTGTTCAAACCAGAATAACGTGCTCATATTTCAGGTTTTATCGTCTGATCTCTGTCTCTTGGTACAGAAAGGATCATGTCTTCATAGGTTGGACTTGCTCAAGTTGCCTTCGCAGAACCTGTTCCAGATTCCCTGACTGCTGTACCATGAACCTTCAGCAAATCTACGCCATGGAGTCTAGTGATGTCTAGTGTGCATTCGCAATTGCCGGTCTTATTCTCAGCTCGTAAAATGTCCAGATATGTCCAGATCATTCACACGTCAATCCTCGCAGCTTGTCACCTTCGAGGCTGGAAAATACCCTGCGAAGGGCATTTCATAACTTACCCAGGCGGGGGATGATCTTTCTGATTCAATTTTTTTTTCCAGACAAACAACAAAAAAACATAAAAAAACACCAATCAGAAAAGAGGGTGTTCCCCATTATGTAAAGTCCACCGCAAGTCAAAGACATAAAACATTCATGTCCTTCTCTATTCTGCCAGCCTCAAAATAGTACTTGGACCCAATGGGAAACCATGATGTAGCACAAAACCGACTCTGTAGTTACCATGAGTCAAACTTGGGTACCCCACAGCTGCCATAAATAGGGAGACTTTTAGTGCCCCCGTCTCGGAAGTCACCCATTCCTGAGGTCGTTGTACCCTTGATATCAACTTGATACCTTGATGATCTCTCGTTTCATATTTTTCACACTGGTGACGCTATCTGCCGGGCTTCTTTGAAGGCCAGCACAGAAAATCAAGCAACAGCAGAGCACAGCACACGGCGGCAAGGGCTTGCGCTTGGTGCACATTCCGAATTCGCTTCAGAAAGCAATTTCAGTATGTCCTGGCGGCAGACTGTCATGCCCTGGTCAACATCGAAGACCGAGGCTGCGCAGAATCAGCAAATCATGGGAGATCATGGGAGTATGACCAGGTCATCAGGATATCCAGGATATCATGATCACCCATGATATTCTCCGTGCCTGGAACTTGGCAGTCCACCTTCACCAGCGGTGCTTGGAGGTCGCTTGGAGAAGGTGGGTTGGTGGTGGACACTAGCCATTGCATCATGTAATGGTTGGTATTCAATGGTACCTACTGGTTCTGAAAGATGGGGCTTACTGCCTATCTATTCTTCATCAATCAGTGGGAGAGGACATGTATGATCAGGACAAGGTATCACCCTCTTGGGGAAAAAACGAGAATGTGCTTCATGGTCATGCAACATAGCAAGAAAGTCAGCCATTTGGTAGATGTTCATGTCAACGTGAAGATTCCGGTGGGTAGCCACCAACAGCTTGGGAATGGTATGGAATGGTACTAATCAGTGCGGTTCTTTAGGATACAGAATGGGCTATTACAGGGCTATTTAAGGCCAAGGTTTCTCTAGACCAGGACTCACAGCATGTGTCACTTTTGACACCATGCAGTTAAGGTGGTGCCATGAAGTTTAACGGAAAGCACGAATTTCTTTCAAATTGAATTTAAGCTAGTTCCCCTTGGTAGGGTCCCAACCAAGATAGAAATCTGGTTCTGTACTATGTCGATGATGATTTACTCTACTGTCCTTTTTCTATGACTGGTTTTGACTTTCGCCACTTTCCCTGCATTTCTTTGGGGCCAGCCTCCAAACCCCGATCGGCGGCATACTCCAAGGCCGACCTTGGAGGAGCTGACATAGCTTGCTGGAAACTCAGACACCCCCATTTCTTGATTTCTGGGTCATCCGACTTGCCATCATTGTCTGGCAGCAGTGGGTTGCAGTCCGGATGAGCTGCAATGGCTGCATAGGACCTGGGAAAAGCATCATGACTTGATGACCAAAACATCCAACCCCAAAAGGGGACATGATGGGGACATGATGGGGACATGATGGGGACATGATGGGGACATGATATAATGAACAACAACCCACTTTTACCAACTTTTACCAACTGCCAAAAAGTCACATCCCATGTTTTGCTCTCCCAACTTCTACCGGCAACCGTCATTTTTGGGTCCCCGGACTCCTTGTCCCCACGCAGCGCGGCCAGGTGCAGCGGGGTGTGGCCCTTGTTGTCCTTGGCGTTGACGTCCAGACATCGGCCGCTCTCCACGATGGCACGGCAGCACTCGGGGCCTTGGGAGATGGATATGGGGGGTTTCATAGAAGATCCCCCAAGTCATCCATGTCATTAGACTCATTAGACCATTTTAGTATTGAAACCCATGGCATGGGGGTTTTGGGATCCATCATTTTTAGAAACCCCTCGTATGGGTCTCCAACCAAACAGTTGTAATCAGGTGTAGTCAGTTCTCGTCAATCACAAAACTAGGTGTCAACCTAGAAAACATGTGATGTGACCTCTATCTCTGGAATCTCTGCACTCTGGGCGCTTCGTGCGACGCTTGCCGGCGGCGAAATGCAAAGCCGTGGCCCAGAAGTCCTGTAGACATTTCTTTTGGATGAACAGCAGAAGTCTCACAGGGCCCCCAGAAGTCTCTTCACAGGGCCCCTACTTCGACATGGTTCCTAAACATGGTATACAGCCAGGTATAGTTCTTGGCTGCCATGCCATCCCGGCTTAGCCAACTGGAGAATCTGCATGATCTAAGATGATCTAACCCATCAAATCTACCAGTTGCGTTGCCCACACTTCACCATTTCAATCCATGGATCACACCTGGATCTTCCTGGATCCCAGTTCTGGATTGTATTGGATTCACAGGCATAGGCGAACACTGGTCATTTTTTTATATCGTGTAATAATGAATGCCGTAGGATGCCTATGCATTCTGGTGGTATGGCAAAACAAAATGATTCACCCCCAGAAATTTGAGAATCGTCGGAAATCGCACCTTCTCTGGTCGGTCGACGCCCTTGAAATCCTTACGCTGACACATCAAAGCACAGAGCTCCTGCGGGCGCTGGTGAACCCAATGATGGGGTTGATGCTGGATGCGGTGCAAATTTTGCTTTATCTTTTTGCATGGCATCTTAACTCTACGTATGTGTAGGGAAGCACACATTTATTCAGTCACCCAATAAAGGTTCACCCAGAGTTGGGAATAGGTGGATGATTTCTTTCCATCGCTCCCAACACAGAGATTTTGATGGTTTTGGGCTCAACTTTGAAGTTTGATCGGATTTTTGTTTCTGAAAACACTGTTTTGCCGGTTGAAGCACTCCAAAGGTCTTATTCAACTCTTATTTTTGCTAGTTAGTTGAGGATTCCGAGTTGATTTGGACATTGTATCTAAGCCTGCTAGTATTTCCCAAAATGATCATCAACTCCCAGTTCTTCATATTATTAAAAGTTTCAGCTCTATATCAGCACTACATCAGCTGATCTCCAGCAGTTTTTTCGGACCTCGAATCCCCGAAAGGCTGCCAGGTGAAGCAAGGTCCATCCCCGAGAATTCTCAGCGCGGGTCGGGATGTGGTCGGGATGTGCCAGGATCCAAGGGGTCGATTTTTTGGGTTCCCCTGTTCTTTGGGATAAATCATGGAGATCAAGGATTATAAATTTATAATATCGAAATACACAGATATTCTATGTTATTCTCATCAGTTGATTTGCAAACCAAAACCATGTTTCAAAGTCCATCCTCTGTGGCAATGGGTTTGTCAATTAGAGATTCGCAGCATGGGTTGAAGGAATGTCAAGAAACCCAGCTTTCGGCACATGCTGGAAACCAGTTTTTTTTAAATCACAAATGGAGGTTTCTAATTTATGGGGGTACCCCTTTATCGCTGGATGGTTTATAATGGAAAATCCCAAACAAAAATGGATGATTTAGAGGTACCCCCCATTTTAGGAAACCTCCAAATAGCTATCTTCGTGCCCTTACCTCGAGACACTTCCCCTCTTGGATTGCCAGATAAAGCATATTTCACCATGGTGAAATCCCATGGAAAATCCAGATTCTCCCCCAGGTTTATACCATTGATTATACCGTTCATATCCCATATTTTCCCATATTTTCCCATATTTTTCCATGGTGTTCCATGTTTTTCCATGTTTTTTCCATGTTTTTCCATAGCTTTTTCCATCCATCATCATCCAAAGGCCCTGGGCATCCCCCACCACTTCGTTCGTGAAGGGCCACAGGGAGCTCCGCGCCAATGCCAAGGCGTCTTCGAGGCGATCGTCTTCCACCTTGGGGCTGACCATGTCATGGATATCAATTTATCATTTATTGAAAAGGTATACATGTCTTATCCCTATATCTATATCTATATCTTCAATATATATATATATATCTATATATATATGATAGTATATATATCTATAATATACACATATCTATACATGTATCTATATATCTCTATATATATATAATTACATATTATGTTGTTTACTTGATTGTGTCACTATAGTTATTCAGAAGCATCTGTTGATACAGAATTTTCCCGATGCTTCGGAAGTTCACCGCTGGTCATTTCCAGAGGGATCCCCATGGTTTTTCACGGGGTATGTAGATAGCGAGACAACTGGGACAGATGAGGATGAAAAAATATGAAAAAATGATGAAAAATGATGAAACATGATGAAAATGTGTAAGGAATGAGGTTTTTTTGATGGGTGAAACATGGTGAAACTAGTGAGTTCACCAAGATCTTCAAGAACAAAATACCTTAGATATCCTTAGATGGGTATGGTCCACTGAGAGAATACAGGATGCTTCATGTACCGGATGACTCAGTGTCCCAAATTTCGGGATGTCGCTACAATGAAGTGATTGGTTGGAACCTACAATTCCTGGCATTCTGAAA